GCCCGCACGCCGCGCACTGGGGGCCGCCGCTGCCCGCCGCGCCCCACCGGAGACACCGGGGCGGGGACCTGGGTACCCGCAGGGGCTCGGCGCACTTCTCCAGCCTCGAGTCCGAGGTATGACGCGGCCCAGGGGGGCCCCGGCGCCCCCTCGGTCAGCGCAGGCCACGGCCCGAGGGGGCACGCGCAACAGACAGGACCCGCGTGGGTTGGGAAGGAAAAGTCGGACCTGGCCGGACCCCGCCTGGAGCAGCGTCCTGCGCCCCGTCGCTTTGGGGGCACCAAGAGCCGGAAGGGATTTGGCCCCCCCCCTCCCCCAAATCTCACCCAGCCTGAAAGGGAGGGGGTGGGGGTCTCGGAGCCCACTGGAGGTTTGTTTTTGTTTTGTTTTGTTCTTAAACCCGACAAGGGCTTTTTAACGTCACCAGATGGGGCGGGAGGTGGGGGAGGGGGTGGGGACACGCCGCGCCCGCGCCCCACCCCCACGCCCGGGGCCGTGGCCCCCGCATCACTGTGCAGCTCCCCGGCCCCGGCCACGCCTCCGGGGAAGCCCGTTTTTAACCTTTCATCCATTGGGACTCAAAACTGTGAGACGCGTTCGCCAAACTGTGACCCCAGACCTTGGCCCCGCCACACAGAAACCCCTGACCCCAGACTGTGACTTCCGACCCCTAAAAATGGTCATCCGACCCCAGACTGTGACCCCTGACCCCAAACTGTGACCCGAATCCCCGACTGTGCCCCGACCAGACTGTGACCCTTGACGTCATACCGTGACACACCCTCCTCCTTTTCCCACCCTAGGTGGCTTTTCCCAATTTTGACCTCGGACACTCCCAACGGAAGCCCCGCCTCCCCCTGTCCTAGCGTTGATCCCAACACACATCGGGCCAAACCCTCCCACCCTGTCGCACCTCACTACCAGCCCCACGTGCCACCAACCACATCCTCTCCAACTCCAGCCCTTATCTGTGACCCTCCCAACGAAAACCCAGCAGACACCCCCTCCCCTCCTCCAACCCCCCCCCCCCCAAGCCTCCTTTTCCTAGATCTCCAGCCGGGTCTGGAGCTGGGTTGTGGAGGAGACGGTCTGGGAATCCACACCCACCACCAACCTCCCCTCCCACTCTCCTGTTACACATTGCAGTGTTTGGAATAAACCATGTTTTTATGCCTCCTCAGTCCAAGTGTGAGCTCCGTGTTTGTCTCAGCCCCCCTCAAACTTCCCTGGAGGAAACAGAAACCAAGAAAAGTCCCACAGAGGAAGAGAGGGCGGAAAGAAAATTGTATTCAGAACACAGACCCTGGAAGGAGATGGGAGACAAAGACCCAGAAAGGGGCTGTGAGAATAGATCCTAAGAAGAAGGCTGAGATGGTGCGAGGGAGGACAGAGACCCAGAGAGAAGGCGGGACAGAGAACTCCAGAAAGATCCAGGATCAAAACACTTTAGGATTAAGTCTAGGGTCCCATTCCTATGGCCACAGACAAGGCCTCTTGCTCGATTCTTAATATCCTGTTCTTGCAAGCGAGGAGTCTAGTATATCCCAGCCAATCCACCTATCTCGAATGCCGTGAATCTCACCAATGAGAATCTATTTCTAACATTTCATTGCCGATGAGGGATAAAGAGAGCCAAAGCGCTTGTAACGGCGGTCTCCAGAGGGCTGACTTTCTGATTAAGTGCTCGCTGACCATAGCTGCAATGTGAACGCCTGGTTAGGCAATTGACTGCCCCAAGAGGGTAGATTCAACCGACTGACTTACACATAATATCATCCTGTCTACACTAAAGCAGTCTGAAGTGAATTAAAGCCATCATAACAAGGAGGGGAGAGGAACCCGGCTTTATGGGTCCTCAGGGAGCAAGAGCCCAGTCTTCTTGCCAGTGAGAACTCTTATTTGCATACATGAATAATATAGCGGAAAGGAAGCAATGGGAGTCCAAGGTGGAAGATGGAGTCGGGGCTCAGGACTCCTCCAGTAGATGGAGAAAACTGGCTTCGTACAGAACTACAACTCCCAGGAGGCCTTGCCGCCGCTCCGCAGAAAAGCGCCGCAAAGTCACGCGAACGGTGTACTTTCTCCGAATCCGCAAGCCTCGGTCGCTAGGCTAGGACTCCTTTGCCTTAGTTCTCCTTCACCCTCTCCCCGCCGCCCTCTCTAATTGGTGAGCTCGGAGGTTTCCAAGGCAACCGTGCAGCCGAGCGGATCTCAGAAGCAGGAAACCGCAACCCGGAAGTGACGTCCTCCCTGCGCGCCGGCGGTGAGAGGCTTCGAAGATGGCGGCGCGCAAGGGGAGGCGGCGCACGTGTGGGACTGGGGAACCCATGGAGGCCGAGTCCAGCGACGCAAGGACCGAAGGCCCGGCCCAGGTCTACTTGCCCGGGCGGGGACCGCCGCTCCGCGAAGGAGAGGAGCTGGTCATGGACGAGGAGGCTTACGTGCTGTACCACCGAGCGCAGACTGGTAGGGCCGGGCACCGGGACTCCTGGGTCCTGAGGAGGAAGGGGACTGGAATCCTGACTCCCGAGCGGGTCTGGTCCGGAGTCTTTAACTTACGAGGCACTCTGAGAGAGAAGACTGGGCTCTAAGATGGATGAAAACTTCACACGCGAGGGGGGGGGGTGCTGAGATCTCTGTCCCGTTCTAATTTTGCGACCTCTCTTTTTATCCCGAGGCGCCCCCTGTCTTAGCTTCGACATAGTCCGGGATCATCTGGGAGACGGCCGGACAGAGCTTCCTCTTACACTTTACCTGTGCGCTGGGACCCAGGCGGAGAGCGCCCAGAGCAACAGGTGAGTGAAATCTGAGGTGTTCCTAGGACCAGGAGTCCGAACCCCCAGCTCCCTCTTCCCCAGGACCTAGAAATCGAGGTTTCCGGCTTCTCTCCCCCTTCTCTCTGAGTATCCTGGCATCCCGTGCCTCACTCACCCCACGCTTTCCCCCAGACTGATGATGCTTCGGATGCATAATCTGCATGGGACAAAACCCCCGCCATCGGAGGGCAGCGAGGAGGAGGAGGAGGAGGAGGAAGAGGAGCGGAAGCCTCAGCTGGAGCTGGCTATGGTGCCCCACTATGGCGGCATCAACCGAGTCCGGGTAGATACAGACCCAGGAGCCTGCTCTACACTGTCTGACCTCCAACCCCAACCCCCTTGTCCATGCCTTCCAGCTTTTAGGAAAGTATCTGGCACGTACCTTTATATGCATTGGCTCATGTACGTCTTCGCTGCCGTCGTTATTATCGCTATGTGCTAGAAGCAACACGGGGCGAGTGTTTATGTTCTTTCCTCTTCTGTAAAATGGCGAAGGTTACAAAGCTGGCCTGATGGAGTTGACGTGAGGGTAAAATGGAACAGCGTACGGTTATTTCAGGTGCCCAGAGACAGCACCTGGGTGTAGTGTGACACATGTTTTGTGTTAGTGCTCAGGAAATGTCCTGGGCTGTGGGGCCGCTTTCGTGCTGCTGAGTTCTGGCACCTTGCGATCGCGCCGCTGTGTGAATTACACGCGACGATGTATGAACGGCACTCAGGGCAGTGCTTGGCCCACGGCCCTTGCTGTGGGTCCCCATTGTATCATTACCACGTTTTAGGCATTGTTCTATGCCCTGGGGATTTCACGGAGCGAAAGTTCTCTGGCTTCATGAAACGTAATGCTAGCGGGGGGAGGGAACGAGAAGAAACTAAGTAAATGTGCAGTGCGTCCTCACAGAGAAGAGGAAAAGCAAGGTAAGGGAATTAGGACGTTTCTAGAGTGGGTTTGCTGTTTTAAATAGTGCGGTCAGGGTCAGGGAAGTATTTGTGATAAGGTGCCATTTGAGTAGAGACTCACAGGAAGTGAGGGAGTGAACCAAAGATCTCTGTCGGGAAAGGGTTTGTAGGCAGAGGAAACAGGTGCAAAGGCCCTGGGGCAAACGTGGCACGTTTGAGGAATTGCGAGGGAAATCGGGAAGACCAGTGCAACCGCCAGAGCGAATGGACGAGAGGGAGAGTGACAGCATGTAGGGGGTTGACACAGAGGAGGTGATGGGTTGTGGAGGGCTTGTAGGCCTTACCTGTTAGGGTAAGGACTTGGCTTCACTTGGGGAGAAATTGGGAGCCACGGGAGGGTTTAGAGCGGAGGACAGTTGGGATCTGACTTGTGTTTTTTTTTTTTTAATTTTTCTTTTTCAACGTTTATTTATTTTTGGGACAGAGAGAGACAGAGCATGAACGGGGGAGGGGCAGAGAGAGAGGGAGACACAGGATCGGAAACAGGCTCCAGGCTCTGAGCCATCAGCCCAGAGCGTGACGCGGGGCTCGAACTCACGCGAGATCACGCGAGATCTCGCGTGAGATCGTGACCTGGCTGAAGTCGGACGCTTAACCGACTGCGCCACCCAGGCGCCCCATGACTTGTGTTTTAAAGAGATGCCCCTGAGTGCTGTGTGGAGAATAGACCGCACGGAGGCAAGGGCAGAAGAGTAGTCCCACGGGGAGGCCATCACGCAGGGGGAAGGATGACAGGAGTGGCCAGGAGTGACGACAGTAGAGGTAGTGAGGAGGGCTTGGAAGTGATGTGGGTTTTGAGTGTAGCCGGCACGGGGTGGCCGTGAGGACAAGTCAGTGAGTCCCACGGTTCGGGGACTGAGATGGGGAACCCCGGGGAGGAGGAGCCTGTAGACGGCGATTAGGAGCTTGGCTTTGGCCGTGTGAAGTTTGAACGGTCGGTGTCGATAGGAGTCTGGAGTCCAGAGAGGTCAGGGCTTGGGGCTACTGGAAACCTTGAGGCCGGACGGGATCTCCTAGCGAGCAGACAGAGGCAAAGAGGCCCAAGGACTGAGGCCTGGGACCCACCGACATTTAGCAAGTTACAAAGACTGGTAGTCTGGGGCGCCCGGGTGGCTCAGTCGGTAGAGCATCCCAGCTCTTGATTTCGGCTCAGGTCATGACCCCAGGGTCGTGGGGTTCTCTCCCTCCCTCTGCCCCTCTCCCCTGCTTACGCTCTTTCTCTCAAAAAACAAAAACAAGACAAAAAAAACGGGGTACCCTGAACACCCTTTCAGGGGTTGCTGGGGCCTCTGGAAGGAGGTTGCGGCCTCAGCATCACTGCCGCCCACTGTGGGCAGTTGTCCCAGGTACCAGGCCGGTCCTGCAGGCCATCGTTTCTTCCCTGCAAAGGCTTCTGGGAGCCAGGCTCCCAGCTGTGGGAGGACGGGGGTCCTGAGGACCTGCAGGTCCGTTTCTCAGGGATGCCAGGAGCTGTGGTCACCACCACCCTGAGCCTCCCGTCCCTCCTGCCTCCCTTTCCCTTCCCCCCCCCCCCCCCCGCCCCCCACAGGTGTCCTGGCTGGGCGACGAGCCGGTGGCCGCTGTGTGGTCAGAGAAGGGCCAGGTGGAGGTGTTTGCACTGCGGCGGCTGCTGCAGGTGGTACATGACCCACAGGCCCTGGCGACCTTCCTCCGGGACGAGCAGGCCCAGGTGAAGCCCATCTTTGCCTTCGCTGGCCACATGGGAGAGGGCTTTGCGCTGGACTGGTCCCCCCGTGTGTCTGGTGGGTGTCCCTGGGGTGCAGGGAATCGGCCCTGGGTGGGGCAGGGGTGGGAGGGCGGGGGGTCTGTTGGAAGGGGTGGGTGCTGAGACTGTCGGGAGAAGAGGGGGCGCGGGGCCAGCCGGTTTCCGGACTCCTGTCTCCAGGGCGCCTGCTGACTGGTGACTGTCAGAAGAACATCCACCTCTGGACGCCTGTGGACGGCGGCTCCTGGCATGTGGACCAGCGGCCATTCGTGGGCCACACGCGCTCTGTGGAGGACCTTCAGTGGTCCCCGACTGAGGACACGGTGAGGGCGGGCTGGCGGTCTGACTCCTGGGTCTTGTAAGAGGGGGGGACTGGGGCTAGATCCTAATGGGGTGGGGGCAGAACACAGAAAGAGGGCAGGGGCACCTGGGAGGGGCTCAGTCGGCTGAGCGTCCGGCTTCGGCTCAGGTCCTGATCTCACGGTTCGTGGGTTCGAGCCCCGTGTTGGGCTTGCTGCTGTCAGCGCCGAGCCTGCTTCGGATCCTCTGTCTCCCCCCCACACACCCCCCCGTGCCCCTACCCTGCTCGCTCACTCGCACGCGCGTGCCCTCTCTCTCTCTCTCTCTCGCTCTGTCTCTCTGTCTCTCTCTCTCTCTCTCCCCCTCTCCATCTCTCCGTCTCTCCCTCTCTCTCAAAAACAAACTTCTAAAAATAAAATAAGGGTAGCCCACCATGCGTCCCCTGGTCTCCAGAGTGGGGTGGCAGGCACACCAGGGTCACTCAGACCCCGCCCTGTCCAGGTGTTCGCCTCCTGCTCAGCTGACGCCTCCATTCGCATCTGGGACATCCGGGCCGCCCCCGGCAAGGCCTGCATGCTCACCACCGCCACCGCCCACGACGGGGACGTCAACGTCATCAGCTGGAGCCGCCGGGAGCCCTTCCTGCTTAGCGGCGGGGACGACGGGGCCCTCAAGATCTGGGACCTGCGGCAGTTCAAGGTATCTCCCCAGCTGGACGTCTGGGGCTGGAGGAGCCCCTGCTCCCGGCAGCCGCTGGGATTTGCAGGCTTCTTCCCTCGGACGGTTGTCTGCACCAGAGCCGGGAAGGCCTGTCGAGGTGGGGTGCAGATGAGGAAACAGGCCCGGGGGGGGGGGGGGGGGGCGGCGGGGGCGGGCGTGGGGTCGCTCGTTCCGCCGGCTGGAGAGGTGACGGGGGACAGAAGGGGCCGGGTGGCCGCAGAGGCCGCGATTCCCATCTACCTGCCTGGGGCGCGGCGCGGTGGGCCGTGTGGCTCGGGACTTCAGAGCCGCGAGGAGTTGTAGACTCGTTGTTAATGGGTTCTGTGGAATCCACTGAGAATGGGAGCCCAGATCGATCGTTACGGGGGAGGAAACTGAGGTACAGAAAGGATGGGAGCGGATAGGACATTACCACCCAGCCGAGGATTGGCTTCGTAGAGCTGAGAGGGGTTCTGGGCAGGAGAAACTGTCTCCGGCTTCCCTGTGGGCGGAGCCGGCACTTGGCGTGGCGCTGTGCCTGCCCGGGACCACCAGGACGGAGTCTTTGTTCCCCTCCTGTAGAGCCAGCCCTGAGGAAGCTTCTAGAAGCGGGCTCCGGCCCCCAAGGAAAGTGCGTGGCCAAGTTGATTGGCCACTGGGACTTCGGAACCACTTCTCCGATTTAGAATTCCCTTTGCTTTAGCGTACCACACAAGTGCTGGTTTTCTTTTCATCGGCTGCCTCCGGAGCCTGGGAGCCATGCTTCCTCCTCCTTTAAGGCCTTTGTAGAATCAGCAGGGGGAGCGCTTTGAGAACCCTCCTCTTGTATAGGAAGGGAAACTGAGGCATGCCCAGGGAGGACCGAGGCCGGGGATCTTGTGCGCCGGAGCTCGGAGGGGGTTCTTGGCAGGGGAAACCACAGCTCCCGGCAGCCCCTGAGACACTACGTCTTTATTACCGGTTCTGCTTTGCCCTCTGTCCCTTTCGGGGAATCTGGGAGTCCAGGGGAGGAGCCCGGGTGCACCCCTCCAGCGGGAGAGCGGTGAGGGCTCGGCCTGGGTCGCCCTGGGAGTCAGGCCGAGGTGCTCAGAGCCCCCGACTCCCTTCTTCCCGTAGTCTGGCTCCCCAGTGGCCACCTTCAAGCAGCACGTGGCCCCCGTGACCTCTGTCGAGTGGCACCCCCAGGACAGCGGGGTCTTTGCAGCCTCGGGCGCGGACAACCAGATCACACAGTGGGACCTGGCCGTGGAACGGGACCCCGAGGCCGGCGACGCGGAGACGGACCCCGCGCTGGCGGACCTTCCCCAGCAGCTCCTGTTCGTGCACCAGGGCGAGACCGACCTGAAGGAGCTGCACTGGCACCCACAATGCCCCGGGGTCCTGGTCAGCACCGCCCTGTCGGGCTTCACCGTCTTCCGCACCATCAGCGTCTGAGGAGGCCCGCCGTGCCTTCACCTGGGGACTGAGGTCGAAGTTGGTTCCGCTGGAAGGGACGCGTTCGGATCGGTGCACCAGCCCTCCTTCGAGAGAAGGACCCAGTTGGGCCCGTTGGCTGCCATGATGGATTCCGTTTGACTCGCTGTTCTCGGAGAGGACTCGCTTTGGTCCCGTGACCCCTCTTGCCAAAGGCTGTGCTTTGACCCGTGACTCTCAAAATAACCACTTGGTTTGCTCCAGTGACCCTTGGGGCAAAAGACTCGGTTTTGACTGGTGACCCCTCCCACCGGAAGACTTGGTTTCGCCCTGTGACCCCCTCCGTCCCCCAGCTGTCGGAGGACTCTGGCCTGTTGCCCAGGTGAGCCTGGTGTGGCCTCATGTTGCTGTGGACGCCGTAAGCCGCGGACCCGGTCTCGGCCGCGGGTCTCCCCCCGGGGGAGCTCGGGCACTTTACGATGGGTGGGCCACATCTGAGGGGTGGGTTCCTCTAGCAGAATCCGGTCTGGCTCTTTGTTTTCCTGCCATCAGAGTTCGGCCAGGACGTCCCAGCAGGGGACTGTGTGGGTCCTCCCTCCCTCCTGCATCCAAGGCGGGTGCTATGCAGGAAGGAAGGTCAGGGGCTCCTGAGGCAATAAAGGACCAGAATGAGACTCATCCTGCTGGCTCCTCCCTACGAAGAAGCTGGAGGAGGAGGCGGGAATCTGTCACCCAGCTGTCCGGAGGCCACCGCGCTGGGAGAGGCCACTGGGAATCCCCGCTTCGGGTCTCTTAGCCCATTGGGTGCCGTTCAGACCTGCCTGCCCCCAGTCTGATTCCGTGTGGAACTTGGTCCGGGTCTCTGGGGGGCTCCCTCCCCTGCGTCCCCCAACTTCTTAAGGCTTCATCTCCAGGAGCCCCCCTTCATCTCCGTCCTGCCCCCGCTGGTCCCTCATCTGTGTCCCCATCTCCCCGTGTCTCCCCGCCCCCTCCCCCTTCTGTGTCCGCCACCGTGTCTCTTCTCCAGCCTGCTTGGGCTGCGGCCCAGGCGCCCTGCCTGGCCGTCCTCCCTGGCTCCCCCTCTGCGGCTCTGAGCTGGCCCCACCCCCTGCCCCCCCCTCTCGGCCGGGCCTCCGATCCGCCTGTAGACACAGAGGTCGGGCGCCCGACACGAGGTCCCTGGGGCCCAGGACACACCGCTGCCCCTCAGCACCCACAGAGGCCTCCCCGCGGCCCTGGCAGAGGATCCCCCGGCGGAGGGCATGGGGGTGGGCTGCCCCACCAGGTACGTGCCTCGGCGCGCGCAGAGGCCCCGGGCTGAGACCATCCCGCCTCCCCACCCCTCCTCGCCCGGGTTCCGCCCCACGTTCCCCGTCCTCGCTGTTCCCCCGGGAAGGTCCTGCCTCACCCTCGGTGACCGATCCCAGCCCCGGAACGACCTCTTCCCCACCACCCCACTCCCAGTTCGGCGCCTCCGTCTCTGACCCCATGTCCGCTTTCTGCCTTCTCCCCCTCACCCCCACCCTCTCTTGCCCTGTCCCTGTCCGCGAGCCTGGCTCCCCAGCTCCCCGTTTCCTGATGCCTCTTCCCTGCCCAGCTGCTCCTAGTCTGCCTGTCCCTCCCACCGTGTCTCTGTCCCCTCTCTCTAGGTCTCTGGCCGCCTGCTCCCCGGGTCTCTGTGCACTCCCCCACCACCACCCTGTCTCTGTCCCTCCCTCTCTGGGTCCCTGTACCCCCTGTGGGGCCTGTCTTCCCCTCTTTCTGGGCTCCCTCTCAGCACCCCTCCTTGTCCACTCTGAGCCTCTGCCTTGGTTCCCTCTCTGTCCCCACACGCCCCGCCCCGCCCCGCCCCACCCCGTCAATCTCTGCCCTCCGGCCTGCTGTCCAGACCCTGTTGGGGTGGAGGGGGTGGAGGGGGACCACCCAGGGTCTTGGGCAGAGTGTGAAAATGCTTCTCTTTTGAGGGGGAGGGAGGTTGGGGCGGAGGGGGCGGAGCTCGTTGGCCCCAGATTAAACAGTGACTTTGACACCAAATTAACACACCTTAAGCCCTGCGTCTCCTTTATATGGAAACGTTAAGCTGCTCTGGCAGGTCAGGGGGAGGACGGGGGGAGGGGACTGCAGGCTCTGGATCCTTTGCGGGGGGGGGGGGGGGGGGGGGGGGGGGGACGGGGGACGGGGGACGTTGAGCCTTGCGTCCCATCCACCCTCTGAGCTGGGCCACGTTGGGTGCAGACAGGGCCCTCTGCAGGTGAAGGCCCCCGGCGACTTTGTGAACCGGGCACGGTCACCCCTGCCGCACGGGGCCGAGGGTGGGATTTAGGAGGCAGAGTCCCGGCTCGGAAAGTCTCCGGACCCAAACGGGCACCCCTCCTTCGGCACCGCGGGGGTCTGGCCAGGTCCCCGGGCCTAGTCCCCAAACCTGTGAAGCGGGGCAATGATTTGGACTTCCCGGCTTCCAGAAGAGTCCAGGTGAGGTGAGCGGCGGGGTCAGGTGGAGTCCAGTGGGCGGGCTGCAGACATCCCCTGCGCTCCTGCAAGGCCAAGGACGTAGTAAGTGCTCGGGCGATAAGCGTGCCCTTGCTGAGGTTGTCCGTGGTTCGTCACTCAGGGTTTGGCAGCTGAGAAACCTGGATGGCAGTCCGGGGTTTCCACTCCCCAGCTGAGGGGCCCGAGACAAAGGAGGGACCTCAGTGCCTCTGCTTCACTGTGAAAAGCAAAGCCTCCCGTGCCCCAGGGTTGTGGTCACAGGTGGGTGGCTGGGTATGAGAGGACCCAGTCTGGGGTCCACCTTCCCTCCCCTGACTTCGGTGGCCCCTGATGGAACCAGTGCCTAGTAGGGACTTCTGGGCCGGAGAGGGCCACAAACGCAAACGTCAGAGCCTGACTTCAAACCTGGCCCCTTGAGCGGCTAGCCTCAGCTTCCCCTCTTCAGAAGGATGACCTCCAACTCCCAGGGTTGTCGAGAGCGAGAAAGAGTCAGGGTTGGGCTACATCATGGATGCCTGACGCAGCCAGGCCCAGTCCGCTCTATCCGACCTCCGCAGAATGGGTATGATAACCACTGGACGTGGCAGAGCCGTCCAGGTGGTCATGGACAGCAGGTGCAGAGCTTAGTGAGGTGTGGGAGGGTGGTGTCGAACTTAACACTGACCTTCCGAGAAGCCCGTGAGGCTATCGGAGCCTGGCCCAGGGGGCACACAGTACATAGGTGCTTGGTAAATACTGCCGGTACCGATACCAAAGTGTTCAGCCCCCAGCCCAGACGGGTTCTAGAAGTCCCTCCTCCACAGCTGCTGGGGGTGGGGTGACGAGGCCTCCAGGTCCCTGTCCCGCTCCTTCCCTCCTCTCTCCACCCTATTGAGCCCCTGAGATTCCACTTCCCAGATGAGGGAGCGGAGGCTGGGGAAAGTATGCGACCTGCCCCCCAGTTCTGGAGTCAGTAAGTAGCTGAGCCGGGATTCAGCCTAGAACCGCCTGACTCGGGAGCCCAGGGTCTTTCCACAGAAGAGGCTCCTGAAAGGAAGCCAGTGGTCCCAGGGCACACAGTGGGTCGGCAACTGAACCAGGATTGGGCCCTTGGTCTATGATGACTAGAAGGCCCTTCCTGACCTGGAAAAAGTCCAACTTCCCCCATGTCACAGTTGAGGAAACTGCTCAGAAGGACTTGCCCAAGATCTGAGGGTCAGGGCTGAGCGTGGGTTTGTTTTTTGGTTTTGTTTTGTTTTGTTTTGTTTTGTTTGCAACAGCTTCATTGAAATGCAATCCAGATACGGGGCGCCCGGCCGGCTCAGGTGGTAGGGCGCGTGACTCTTAATCTTGAGGTCGTGAGTTCAAGCCCCACGTTGGATGGAGAGATTACTCAAAAATAAGATTCAAGAAATAAAAATAGAATTCAGATAAAAACACAGTGCACACGTTCAATGTATAACTCAGTGTTTCTTTAGTGTTTTCATGGAGTTGTGCCACTATCACCACAGTCAAATGGAGGACAGCTTCAGCACCCCAACAGGAAAACCCGTGGCCTCCGGCTGTCACGCCCCAATCCCATCCCCATCGCCCCAGCCCTAGTTATCACTAGTCTGCAAGGTACAGATTTGTCCATCAAGACATATAAACAAAAGTATGCGACACGTGGTCTCCTGCACCCGGCTGGTTTCGCTTAGCATGATGTTTTCGAGGTTCATCCGTGCCCCAGTGTGTCCGTGCTTCGGGTTTTGTTTTGTTTTTAATGTTGATTTATTTTTGAGAGACAGGGAGAGACAGAGCATGAGCGGGGGAGGGGCAGAGAGCGAGGGAGACACAGAACCCGAGGCAGGTTCCAGGCTCTGCATTGTCAGCACAGAGTCCGACGTGGGGCTCGACCCCGTGAACCGCGAGATCATGACCTGAGCCCGTGTGGGACGCTCAACTGACCCAGCCACCCAGGCACGACTGTTTAACCATTTAGGGGACCGCCAGGCTGTTTTTCACAGGAGTGACTCCATTTTCCATTCACCAGTAGGTAGGAGGGGGCCCACTTCACGTCCTTGCCAGTATCTGTCATGTTCCCAAGAAGGTGGCGACAGTGTCTCATTGCGGTTTTGGTTTGCATTTCCCTGAAGGCTAATGACCTTGAGCACCTTTTTTTTGTGCTTTTTGTGCTTATCTTATTGGCTCTTTGTAGATCTTTCTTAGACAAATGTCCACTCAGATACTTTGCCTATTTTTAAATCGCGTTATCTTTTTACGATTGAATTGTAACGGGTCTTTGTATATTTCAAATACACATTTCTTAAATACAGGATTTGCAATTATTTTCTCCCCATGGCGGTTTGTCTTTCCACTGTCCCAATAGTGTCCTTTGAAGCACAAAAGTTTTAAATTCTTTTTTTTTAAGTTTTTTTTTTTTTTTTTTTTTTTTTAATTTTTGAGACAGAGACAGAGCATGAGCAAGGGAGGTTCAGAGAGAGGGGGAGACAGAATCCAAAGCAGGCTCCAGGCTCCAAGCTGTCAGCACAGAGCCCGACGCGGGGCTCGAACCCACAGACCACGAGATCATGACCTGAGCCAAAACCAAGAGTCGGACGCTCAACCAACTGAGCCACCCAGGTGCCCCTTAATTTTGATGGAACTTCCGTTCATCCACCGTTTTTCCTTTCGCTGCCTCAGCTTTCTGAGCGTCGTTTGGAACCATCGGTGACCTCGGAGCCGGGGGGCTCATCTCTCCCTGCGGACTCCACGTTGAGGAGCGGCTACCACTTTGTGGACTCTGGATTTGCTAACGCTCAAATCCTGGTTCACTCCGCTGCGGCCGTGGGCAAGTTAAACGTTCTGTGCCTCAGTTTCCTCATCTATAAAATGGGGACGGTAACGTCCACACTGGCCTAAGGCTCAAGTATGTCGATTCGTGTCAAGCGCTCACCACGGGGTCCGGTGAGCACTGTCCAGGCGTCTGCGCCAATGATCGGGGCGCTTGCTCGAACGCCGTCACGCCTGCGGTTCTGTTGCCGGGGTCGCCCCACAAGCATCTCCTATTAATATTGTCATTGATGCTGTCCCGTTCTGGCTTTCCAGGTGAATGATGTGCCCCCCCAATCTGTCAGACGAGGCCGCCGAGGCGCAGGGAGCACGCCCGGCCCATGAGCCCAGCCATTCCTGGCGCCCCTGACCTCGCCTCCCGTGTCTCTCTCCGCAGGTTCGGGGCGCCCGCCCCCTACTAGGCCAAGTGGAGGGGGCGTCCCCGCCCAATGGGCCTGGCCGGGGCCCTGCGCCGCCTTAGCGGCGCCCTGGAGCCAGGAGAGGGCCGGGCCGGCGACGAGGAGGAGGCCGGGCCGGGGCTGTGCCGCAACGGGTGGGTGGCGGCGCCGGCGGGGCGGCGCCGCGGGCGCTTCGTCAAGAAGGACGGGCACTGCAACGTGCGCTTCGTGAACCTGGGCGGCCAGGGCGCGCGCTACCTGAGCGACCTGTTCACCACGTGCGTGGACGTGCGCTGGCGCTGGATGTGCCTGCTCTTCTCCTGCTCCTTCCTCGCCTCCTGGCTGCTCTTCGGCCTGGCCTTCTGGCTCATCGCCTCGCTGCACGGCGACCTGGCCGCGCCGCCGCCGCCCGCGCCCTGCTTCTCGCACGTGGCCAGCTTCCTGGCCGCCTTCCTCTTCGCGCTGGAGACGCAGACGTCCATCGGCTACGGCGTGCGCAGCGTCACCGAGGAGTGCCCGGCCGCCGTGGCCGCCGTCGTGCTGCAGTGCATCGCCGGCTGCGTGCTCGACGCCTTCGTCGTGGGCGCCGTCATGGCCAAGATGGCCAAGCCCAAGAAGCGCAACGAGACGCTCGTGTTCAGCGAGAACGCCGTCGTGGCGCTGCGCGACCGCCGCCTCTGCCTCATGTGGCGCGTCGGCAACCTGCGCCGCAGCCACCTGGTCGAGGCCCACGTGCGGGCCCAGCTGCTGCAGGTGGGAAGGCCAAGG